CTAAAACATGGTCCTGCGCCTTCATTGAGAATTCCATTATCACAACATTCTGGTTCAGTCTTCTCTAGTCTTCACTTGACAACTTTTGCATGGGAGACAGTCTATATTCAAATCACCACAAATAACACAAATAAAAGTGATTTGCATACCAATACTGTAATTCTAAACATTCTGTATTGGATTAGATACTTAGCTCTACCTGTGAGATTTCCTATTTTGTATGTTCATAGCTGCACGGGATCACTTGATCTCCCCTGGAAGGACTCCACTAGTATTTCTGGTGAAGAAGGTCATGTCAGGATGAACTCCCTCAGCTTCCCTTTACTCATGGAAACCTTACTTTTCCACTGTTTTAAACAACAGCTTTATTACATAGTGTTCTTACTGGAAGTTTCTTTTCCTTTAGGATTTGGAATAAACCATTTCATTTCTGGCCTATGAGATTTCTGCTGAGAAATATTTTTTCTTTCAACTTTGGATGGTTTGTTCACAGTGTGTTTTGGAGTGATTATTTGGGGTTTATTTCACTGGAGATTCTTAAGTTTCTGGAGTGTGTCCACATCTTTCTTAAAATTTGTGAAAGTTCTGGGGCTGGAGAGATGGCTCAGTGGTTAAGAGCACTGACTGCTTTTGCAGAGGACCTGAGTTTGATTCCCAGCACCCACATGGCAGCTACAAACTGTCCTTAACTCCAGTTCTGGGGGAATCCAAAGCCCTCTTCTGACCTCCGCAGCATTGCACGACACAGGTGCACTCATATACAGTCAGGCAATACACTCATACACATAAAATAAAAATAAAAGTTTTAAAAAATATACTGTCTCCTTAAACATTTTTTCCAGAAGTTCCTTGAAAGTTTCAGACACTGTTTTTTTTTTTTTAAGAACCTCTGGATTATTTTCCCTCTTTCTTTCTGGAATTCACATAATTTTAAAATATTTTTAATTTATCCTTTGAAAATTTCATATGTTTATGCAATATAGTTTTGGTCATATTAGCTCCCCACTACCTCCCTCTAACTGCCGGTGGGAACCCTCTAGCTTATGTCCCTCCCAACTTCATGACTTCTCTTTTATCACCATCATTATTGTTAATAGCTCCCTGAATCCAGTAAGTGTTGACCATAGTTCATGGGTGTGGGGCCATCCACTTGGGTGTGCAGAACCTATCAGTGACCACATCCCCAAAGAAAAGTGATACTGTCTCCCTCAACAGCCATCACCTGCCAACAGTTTCTCTAATAGTGTTAGGCAGGAATCTTTCCCCTATCCATGTTGGAATTTTGATTGGCTTGATCTTGAGTAAGTCCTGTGTAGGCAACCATAGTTACTATGAGCTGATGTGTGCAAAAACCATGTCAGGTCCAGAGACAGCATTTCATAGTAATCCTCTCTAACCTCTAGCTCTTACATTCTTTCTGTCTCCTCTTCTGTGATGTTCCCTGAGCCTTGGATGGGGAGCGGTTGTTATAGATAACCCAACTGTGGTGGAGCATTCCCAGTTACTTCTCAGAACTTTGATTACTTATAAGTCTCAGCATTAGCCACTATACATTTAGTAAGAAGCTTCTCTGACCATAGTGAAAGCAACACAAATCTATGGGTATAAACATAAATCGTTTGAAGGAAATTTGACAGCATGACCATTTAGTGGAATACCACCAGTAGGTTTTTCCCTAGCACCTAGGATCTCCCCAGTCATGGGTTTTAGACCACGTTTACAGTACTAGACATAAAATCCTTACTGTGGAGTAGGCCTTAAGTCCAACCAGAAAGCAGTTGGTTACCCTCATAACCATCATACCACTATTGTACCAGTGGCTACGACTTGCCTCACAGGTGGGTATTGTAGAATGCAGGGTCCAGCACTGGTTAAGACCACTGATGTCTTTCCTCTCCCAGCAGCCTGTGTAGCACCTTCCAGCACTATGAAGCTAGCCAGCAGGAAGAGGGTTTCCTGGTAAGTTGGAGATTGATTTTTTGATGCCCTGAAACTGAAGTGGATGGTGTCTTCAGCAATTGGGTCTTACTACATAGCCATGGTGGGCATCCAAGAGCAATAGTAATAGCTTGTGTTGTTTCAAGTGCCTCTGGGGCCTCCCTGACCAATAACTTGTAGGGAGGTGTCCCATGCTTGGCAATGATATTTTCATTTAATAGCCCATGTCTTCTGGGAGCAGTATTGCCCACCTGTGTAGGGTACCTCTGTTCAACCTTATTTTTTATACAGTGTTTTAAAAATTAGCTTACAAATGAGTGACTTTCCATAAGGGTTCTTTTTAAAAAATGATTTATTTATTATTTTTATTTTATGTGTATGTGTGTATTGCCTGCATGTAGGGAAGTGCACCTGTGTTGTGAAATGCCTGCGGAGGACAGAAGAGGCTGTGGGATCCCCTGGAACTGGACTTACAGACAGTTGTTAGCTTCTGTGTGGGTGCTGGGATTCAAACCTGAGTCTTCTGCAAGAACAGTGTTCTTAACCATTGCACTATCTCTCCAGCCCCTCCATAAGCGTTCTTTATACATCCCTACTCCCTCCACTCCCCTGTCCTTCTGCCCCCATTTCCACTGAAACTCTTTTTTTCTTTAGTTTTCAGTGTTTTTATTGGCATATATTAATTTTACACAGTAATGGGTTTTCATACATATATAATGCATTTTGAGCATACTCAGCCACTACCCTCTCCCATTAATCTCCTCTGTCTTCTCAAATAAATATTAGGCACTTTCTTGGCATGCACGAGGACTTGGATTCAACATGCCATATGAAATAAAAAAAGAATTGTCAGGAGTGAACACCTCAGACTTGATTCTTCCCATGCACTATTTTCTCACATCCATACACTCTCAAAACATCATGATCACAGTAGCTATTATTCTTTTGTTTGTTTTGGTTTATTGAGACCCAGTCTTACTATCCATCCCTGGCTGGCCTGGAACTCATTAAGTAGACCAGGTTGGTCTTGAACTCACAGAAATCAGCCTACCTGTCTCTCCAGTGCTGGGACTAAGGGCATGTGCCACCACTCCCAGGTCAACAGTAGTTATTACTCTAAAAACTGTCACTTTTAATTTCACATCAACTTCATGTCATCACAGTCTATGAAAGACAAAGTGTAATTTCTCCAGTTTCAAGTTATGAAGCAACCAGAATAAAACCTACATTCAACTGAAGGGGAATACATTCTTTTTTGTTTTCTCATGATGTTTTTAACTTGTACTCTCTCTCCATTGCTAGGGTTAACTGTATGGTTAAAGTTCTAGGTACCTGACAAATTTAAGATCTGTATCCTGACTAGAATTTAGCAGTCTCTTCAAAAATGAATTATTTGAGCTTCTCCTTAGGCAAGTCATCCAATTCCATGTCAAACTTGAATGGTGTTTCAGCAATGAGCTGGTCACTTGGGTCGTAATACTGCTTCAGATATGGGTGGTCCAGAGCCTGTTCTGCTTCAATCCTCTTGTGAGGGTTAAATGTAAACATTTTGTCCGGTAAATCCAGAGCTTTGGTGTCAGAATTTGGGAACAGCCTGTTCCATGGCACCTTATTTTTGTGCGGGAGAGAAAGCAAATATTTTCTAGCTTTTAAATTTATAATACAGTTCAGGTCTTCCTGTGATGGAGATCCAAGCATACCTACAATGTGGTTCAGCTGGTCAAGACAATACTTTCTTGGAAAGATGGGCCTGTTGGGTAGCATCTCTGCCAGGATACAGCCCACAGACCAAATATCAATGGACTTGGTATAGTCCTTGGAATTCAACATAATTTCTGGAGCTCTGTACCAACGTGTGGCTACATATTCTGTCAGGAACCCTGTGTGATCATGATCTGGATCAGCAACACAGGCGAGGCCAAAGTCACAGATTTTGAGATCACAAATGGGTATTGAGCAGCAGGTTGGAAGGCTTGAGGTAATGGTGCAGAACATTAGATGAATGAATGTATTTTAACCTCTAAGGATCTGATAAAGAAAATAGCAGATATGGTCATTGCTGAGGTGTTGTAAAGATCTGTTTCCATGAGGTCCTGTACTGCATATACATCTTTCATTTGTTCAATGGTTGGTGCTCGGATAATGACATTGATGCCAATGATGTTCTCATGTCTGAAGCACAGCAAGATTTTTATCTCTCTCAGGGTTCTCTGGCAGTAGGTCTGATGCTCAAAAGGACTGATTTTCTTGATAGCTACTTGAACTTTGTTGAGATTATCATAAGCAGAGGGGTTCCAGGGGAATTACAGTCCATCATGTGGGGGGCATGGTGGCTGGAGGTGGCTGGACCAGGAGCAGCAGAAGTTAAGCTTCCACATCATCAAATAGGCACAGGAAGCAAGAGCCCACTGAAATTCTTAACCCCCAATTTCCCAACTGCTTCTCTTCGCAGAATTGTTTCAGCTTCCAGCGCCCCCTCACATTGATGTGATGTATACCACACTGCTCATCGAGCTGTGCAAACTTCAGCCGGGCTCTCTGCCTCAAGTTGTATCCTTCCATTGTTTTTAAATACATATCCTTTGGCTAGACTTTTGGGGGGGTTTCTTTTTGAGGCAGGGTCTCCCTGCAGCCCCAGCTGTCCTAGAATTCACTATGTAGACCAGGCTGGTCTTGAACTCACAGAGATCCATCTGGCCTCTGCTTCCCAAGTGCTGGGACTACAGGCATGCACCACCACGCCCGGCTCATATCTCCTTTTTTTAAAAAATTGTTTTTTATTTTATGTGTATGAATGTTATGCCTGTATGTATGTAAGTGCATTCGTGTCATGCAATGCCTGTGGAAGTTGGAAGAGGGCATCGGATTCCCTGGAACTGAAGTTACAGACAGTTGCTAGCTGCTATGTGGGTACTGGGAACCAAACCCTGGTCCTCTGCAAGAGCAGCTGGTGCTCCTAACTGCTGGGTCATCTCTTCAGCTCCACTTTCATGTCTCCTTTAGTTTATGATTATATATTTTACTTGGGTTGCAAGACCGTAGATTTCCACATAGTTTTTTCAAAAAATATAGAATGCTGAACAAATTTGTATGTTATCCTTACACAGGAGTCATGCCAATGTCCTCTATATTTTTCCAATTTAGTATACATGCTGCTGAAGCAAGCACGGATTCCCATAATTTTTTAGCTTCCTACTTACTGATGTCATGTTAGGATTTAGGTTCTTTTCATACTTTGTTTTCTGTCTGTGTCTTGATGTTTTAAGTTACCTTTTCCCAACTCCTGATTCTTCTTGTTAGATTCTTGTTCTTGAATACCTCTAGTGGATTTCTCAGTTCAGTTCCTGTATTATACACCCTCATAGTTATTTTTAGCTTTGTAATGTCATTTATTTCTTATTAATGTTGGTTTCTTGGTTTTGTCTAGATACAAGCTTATGTTCACTGTGCATCTGTAGAACAATTATTTTGAATTCTCTGTCAGGTAATCCATTAATTAATGTGATTCAAGAATTAGTTTCTAAACAGTTGCTTTATTGCTTTCATTGGGTTCAGGTCTCTCTCTCTCTCTCTCTCTCTCTCTCTCTCTCTCTCTCCCTCTTTCTCTGTATGTGTGTAAAACTATGGGGGAATAATTTTTGCTGACATAAGGACATTTCTGATTCAGAAAACAGTCACCTGTGGCGCGGCTGGGATCTCAGCAGACCACTAGAGTGCCTGTTCTTGCCTCCTTCTGGCATAGGGGCTGAGAACTCAGGGGACTGCCTGAGAGCACCTGGATCCTGCCTCAACTGAGTGATAAGAATTATGCAATTTGGGAGTTTTTTAGATAGACCCACTGAAAGGGTACCCCAACTGCCTCACCTTGCGGCCCTGTTCAAGATGGAAGAAGCCAGAGCCATCTGCATCCTGATTCCCTATCTGTAAACAGGGTGATTTCTTCAGAGGATGGCGTGATAAGAATAGGAGGTAGGAATTGGCTAGGCAGTTGGGGTAAAAAGACCCCAGAGAAAAGTAGCCAGTTTCTTGGCCAAAAGTCAAAATGTCTTTGGGCTTCTTAGCAACATACTCTGTTCCAAAGGCCAAAAATGTCAAAAGTATTAGGGAGCTCTAATCCTTAAAAGATTTTAGGGTTACTTCTTTAGAGGGGGGACTGTTACAGTAGCAAAAAGTCCCATTTAAAAAAAAAGAAGAAAGAGTACATGAAGTTATCAGAAAAAAAGTGATGGGGAGATATGGGAGGAGTTGGAGGGGTGGGAGTGGGCATGGATTTAATCAAAACACCTTATATGCTCATATGCTTGTATGAAATTCTCAATGAATTATTTAAAAAAAGTCACCTTTCAGTCTTTACCGATCTTCTCAGGGGAAAAGGCACTTATAAATTATGCTGAAATCGGGGCATGGTGGTGGCAAGCCTTTAATCCCAGCACTCAGGAGGCAGAGGTGGGTGGATCTCTGTGAGTTCAAAGCCAGCCTGGTCTATATAGCTAGCTCCAGGCCAGCTGAGGCTACAGGGAGACCCTGTCTCACCCCCACCCCCAAAAGAAACACAAATCATGTTGGAGATGTTGGGAATTCTCAAATTCTTGGTGAAGATGTGTCTTCTCTGCTGTTCCTATCTCATTTCTCTGAAGGGTCAGCCTTTTAATTTCCAGTTCAAGATCTCTGTCTCCCCCTAGGGCATCACTGTAGTAATGTAGAAAGAACGTCTGTCTTCATTGAGCTCAGGGTCCAGAAGTAGCGAAGCCCCTAGCTCTTTATAGGGGTCCAATTCTGTAGAAACCAGTCCATCCACAGCCCCCAAGTCCAGGGTACTGTCTGCGCATTACACTCTTATTTCTCTTCCAAAGAAGAAGCTTCAAGTTGGGAGCAGTTTTTGTGTTTTTTTTTTTTTTTTTTTTTTTTTTTTTTTTTTTTTTTCAGGGCAGCCTCTTTCTGCTCGCTGGAGGAGGGACTCAACTGCACAAAGACAAACTATTTTCTAACCGACTTCGAAGTCACTCTTGGTGATGTGCTCACCTGGGGGAATCTTCACCCTGTTAACTTAAAAAAAATTCTGAATTTAAAATTTTGAGAATTTCGGGGCTGGAGAGATGGCTCAGCGGTTAAGAGCACTCAGTGCTCCTGTAGAGGACCCGGGTTCTATTCCCAGCACCCATATGGCGGCTATGAACTGTCCTCAACTCCAGTTCCAGGGAAATCCAAAGCCCTCTTCTGACCTCCGCGGCATTGCACTACACGGGCGCACTCACATACATTCAGGCAATACACTCGTACACATAAAATAAAAATAGTAAATAAAACATTTAAAAAAATTTTGAGAATTTCATGTGAGTACACTATTTACATTATTTCTGCTCTCTCTCTCCCTCCTCTACTTCTTCCTGTGTTCCCCCATCATCCCCTTCGAATTCATGACCTCAAAAGTCTTCTGTAATTATTGTTACATATACATGTATACACACACACACACACACACACACACACACACATCCTACGCAGTTCAATCAGTGTTGTCTGCACGTATGAGTGTTTAAGGTTGACCACCTAGGATTGGGAAACTTATCAGAGGGCCTTGTCCCTGAAAACTGGACTCTCCCTCTCTCAGCTGCCATTGACTGCCTGTAGCTCTTCATCCACATTCTGTAAATTTTCTTTTTTTTTCTTTTTGCATTTTTCACAAAATTTGCCCTTTATATTTTTGTTAAACAGGTTTTCCATGGTGGGAAGAGGGCCTGGGATATCTCATTGATCATCTTGGTATAAACAGTGTGAAGTTTTGAGGATCCAGCCTCCCTTCAGTGACATAGTGAAATAAATGGGATATTAATGTACGTGTATAGGAAGTCCAGGGACTTGCGATACATGTCAAAACTCAATATCTGAAAAAAAAATCAGATATCACAACTAAATACAAAATAGTGGAATGCCCATAATCACGCTGAAGATAGCAATGACATCAAGAGAAATGACATATCAAATATCTAATTGTGTATTAATAGAAATGCAACATTAGAGCATCTAAGTTAAAATTATCCTATAAGATAGATTAAAGTGAAATTGTGATTCTTAGAATGGAGAAAAAAAGTCTCTGTGCTGAAAATATTGGCAACTGCAAATTTCCTGCTTGGCCTAAGATCTTTCTCCCTTTTGGTCCTCTTCTTGCTAAATAAAACAAAAATATCAGTATTGAAAACATCCTGTTATGGACAGAACAAGCCCATCAGCATTTGTCTTATGACATTATCTTTAACTAGTTATGAAACAAAACACTTCTTTCAGTGGGCAAACATAGCTCTCTCTCTCTCTCTCTCTCTCTCTCTCTCTCTCTCTCTTTGAGACAGGTCTCACTATGGAGCCCAGACTGGCCTGGAACTCATTATGTAGATCAAGCTGGCCTCAAACTTACAGAGGTCCACCTGCCTCTGTCTCCCGAGTGCTGGATTAAAGGTGTGCACCTCTACACCCGGCTGATCTCACTCAAAATTCTTATATTGAAATCTAAACTTCAATAAGACAGTGTTTGATAAAGGGGGCTTTAAGGAGTAATTAGGTTATGAGGGTGGGACTCAGCATCTTCACAGGAATTCGAGAACCTACCTCTTCTTCTCCATGCAAACGCAATGAGGTGTTGGCGGTCTGCAAACCAAAAGAGAGCCTGAGCATAACAGACCCTGCTGGCACCCAAGATCACATGGAAGCTTCCAGAAATGCGAGTAAATTCTGTTGTTCTTAGTATGTTCAGTCTACACACTTTGTTACAACATACTTAATTGGCTGAGGAACGTGCCCTGCACTACTGTCCCTACACTCTGTCCTTGGGGTACTGCAATCTATTTCCTCATGCTGTACAGTAATTTAAACAATAAAACTCATAACATGCAGGCAACAATGGACAGTCTCTGTTCTATTCTATCATGTGTTTAAGCTCCAGTTGTGCTGTCCACATCAGACTCAAGTAAGAGCCGATCTCATTCTGCAATATTTCCAGAAGTACTAAGCTTAAGACCTTTCAGTTAGTCTTTCCACACAGTAAAATATATCTTAATTTACATTTTAAATATATAGAGACAGCATAAACAGTAACCAAAGACTCATATAAATTGGAAACATTGATGTAAGTTAATGAGAAGCCCAAAAGATTAATCTTAAGAAATAGACTA